GCGGTTTTTCAAAATAAAGCTCATTATAACCAAAAACTCAAAACCGAGCAATTTGCATATCAGAACATTTCTTATGGTAAAAACAAATCATGAACTGTATTTTATACACTTAAATCATGAAAATAAATGCATTGAAAAATAGCTCAACTATATGGTAAAGGAATATTTTAGTATTTTTAATGAACAAACAGGTGGTTTGCTACACCCTGTATAATCAGAGTGCGGGGAACTCAGATGCACTCTGGTTTCTATTGGCCGAGCATCCATTAGCCGCCTGGCAGAGCTTTCACTGTGGACCGTTGCACAGACCATACAGTTTAAAAACATTGGATTTCAGGGAGCAGCATCCTGTTGACTTTAAAACAGTTGGATTGTTAAAAAATAATTTCCGTTAAGTTGCTTTCAGTCTCGACCCTCCTCAGATCGTCTGCAGCAAAGTGAGACGTTGAAGGTGTTTCCAGGTGACTTTCAGAACGGAGCGAATCGATCGCAGCTACAGCTGCCTGAGGGCGTCCACAGTGACCCTGCCGTCCACCTGACCGGCCACGGCGACCCGCTCACACAGAACCAGAGCAGAGTGAGTGAAGACGCTTCAGCGTGTGAGGCAACCAAACCAGTATGTCGTCGGTGAAAGACGCTTCTTGTTTCTCAGCTGAACAGCAGCACAGCAGCGACGCCTTTAGTCATGGAGTCCGACCAAAGCAGACAGAGAGGAGAGTCCGGTTATTGGATCCACGACCCAGTAGCACACCACCAAAGTTATGCTTCTACACTTCAGACACGGTGAGTTTTTATTCGTGCAGAAGGATTTTGACAATTTAGCAAATTTATTTGGATTTTCCTTTGCACCAACTCCAAGCTCATAGATGTTTCACCCCAGGCTGGATTCAGAAAGCTGAAGCCCCTGACACATGATGATTTAGATCAGCAAATGACTGACGTACAAAAAATGTGGCAGAAACGCTGGCATACGTTGGATAAGCTATGGGGGCGGTTTCGCATAGAAAAAAAAAAATACACCACCTCGCATAGTATAGCCATGATCTGCTTATCTGTTCTCCATTTTTCATTTG